ACACACACAGAAGGGATGTGAACAAATTGGAGAGAGTCCAGCGGAGGGCAACAAAAATGATTAGGGGGCTGGGGCACATGACTTACGAGGAGAGGCTGAGGGAACTGGGGTTATTTAGTCTGCAGAAGAGAAGAGTGAGGGGCAATTTGATAGCTGCTTTCAACTACCTGAAGGGGGGTTCCAAAGAGGATGGAGCTCGGCTGTTCTCAGTGGTGGCAGATGACAGAACAAGGAGCAATGGTCTCAAGTTGCAGTGGGGGAGGGCTAGGTTGGATTTTAGGAAACACTATTTCACTAGGAGGGTGGTGAAGCACTGGAATGGGTTCCCTAGGGAGGTGGTGGAATCTCCATCCTTAGAGGTTTCTAAGGCCCGGCTTGACAAAGCCCTGGCTGGGATGATTTAGTTGGTGTTGGTCCTGCTTTGAGCAGGGGATTGGACTAGGAGACCTCCTGAGGTCTCTTCCAACCCTGATATTCTATGATTCTGTGAAACATGGTCAGTGATGAAGAATCTCCCACCCTTGGTAAATTGTTCCAGTGGTTAATTACTCTTACGGTTAAAAACGTGTGCCTTATTTTCAGTCTGAATGTGTCTAGCTTCAACTTCCAGCCTTTGGATCATGTTCAACCTTTCTCTGCTGGACTGATGAGCCCCTTATCAAATATTTGTTCCCCAAGTAGGTACTCACAGACTGTGATCAAGTCGCCCCTTAATGTTCTCTTTGTTAAGCTAAATAGATTGAGCTCCTTGTATCTCTCACTATAAGGCAGATTTTCTTATCCTGTAAATCATTCTCATGGCTCTTCTCCGAACCTTCTCCAATACATCAATCTCCTGCTTGAAGGAAGATTTCTGTGTCATGAATCCAGGGCTCTGAGGGCACCTTTATGGTACGTCTCGCTGTGTTGGTGGCATTAATGCTGGGAAGCTCATCTGCTCTGTGTAATTCTGCTTCTGCCCTTGATACGCTTGAGCCGTTAGAATTACCGCCAATCACAGCCTTTGTTATCCTAGCCCCTAGGGCAGGGGTGGGCAAACTTTTTGACCTGAGGGCCACAGCTGGGAATAGAAATTGTACGGCGGGCCTTGAATGCTCACAAAATTGGGGTTGGGGTGTGGGAGGGGATGAAGGCTCTGGTTGGGGGTACGGACTCCTGGGTAGGGCCAGAAATGAGGAGTTCAGGGTGTGGGAGGGGGCTCCGGGCTGGGGCAGGGAAGTGGGGCGGGGGTGGTGAGGGCACCGGCTAGGGGTGCAGGCTCTGGGGTGGGGCTGGGGATGAGGGGCTTGGGGTGCAGGAGGGTGCTCCGGGCTGGGATTGAGAGGTTCGGAGGGCGGGAGGAGGATCAGGGCTAGGGCAGGGGGTTGGGGTGTGGGGAGAGGCTCAGGGGTGCAGGCTCATGGCGGTGCTTACCTCAAGCGGCTCCCGGAAGCAGCGGCATGTCCCTTCTCCAGCTCCTACGTGGAGACGCGGCCAGGTGGCTCTGTGCACTGCCCCGTCCACAGGCACCGCCCCTGCAGCTCATATTGGCCACGGTTTGCGGCCAATGGGAGCTGCAGGGGTGGCACTTGGGGCAGAGGCAGTGTGCACAGTGGAGATCCCTGGCTGCCCCTACGTGTAGGAGCTGGAGGGGGGACATGCCGCTGCTTCCAGGTGCCGCATGGAGCAGCCCCCAACCCTGCTCCCCAGCTGGGGCACTAGAGCGGGGCAAGCCCCAGACCCTGCTCCCCAGCGGGAGCTTGAGGGCCGGATTAAAATGGCTGGTGGGCCGGATCTGGCCTGCGGGCCGTAGTTTGCCCACCCCTGTCCTAGGGGCGCTGCTCTCTGCCGTGGAGTGCAGAGGAAATGGAATTAACTGATAAACTTAACATTAACAAGTCACCGGGACCAGATGGCATTCACCCGAGTTCTGAAAGAACTCAAATGTGAAGTTGCGGAACTGTTAACTAAGGTTTGTAACCTGTCTTTTAAATCAGCTTCTGTACCCAATGACTGGAAGTTAGCTAATGTAACGCCAATATTTAAAAAGGGCTCTAGGGGTGATCCCAGCAATTACAGACCGGTAAGTCTAACGTCGGTACCGGGCAAATTAGTCGAAACAATAGTTAAGAATAAAATTGTCCGACACATAGAAAAACATAAACTATTGAGCAATAGTCAACATGGTTTCTGTAAAGGGGAATCGTGACTTACTAATCTATTAGAATTCTTTGAAGGGGTCAACAAACATGTGGACAAGGGGGATCCAGTGGACATAGTGTACTTAGATTTCCAGAAAGCCTTTGACAAGGTCCCTCACCGAAGGCTCTTATGTAAATTACGCTGTCATGGGATAAAAGGGAAGGTCCTTTCATGGATTGAGAACTGGTTAAAAGACAGGGAACAAAGGGTAGAAATTAATGGTAAATTCTCAGAATGGAGAGGGGTAACTAGTGGTGTTCCCCAAGGGTCAGTCCTCGGACCGATCCTATTCAACTTATTCATAAATGATCTGGAGAAAGGGGTAAACAGTGAGGTGGCAAAGTTTGCAGATGATACTAAACTGCTCAAGATAGCTAAGACCAAAGCAGACTGTGAAGAACTTCAAAAAGATCTCACAAAACTAAGTGATTGGGCAACAAAATGGCAAATGAAATTTAATGTGGATAAATGTAAAGTAATGCACATTGGAAAAAATAACCCCAACTATACATACAATATGATGGGGGCTAATTTAGCTACAAGAAGTCAGGAAAAAGATCTTGGAGTCATCGTGGATAGTTCTCTGAAAATGTCCACTCAGTGTGCAGAGGCAGTCAAAAAAGCAAACAGGATGTTAGGAATCATTAAAAAGGGGATAGAGAATAAGACTGAGAATATATTATTGCCCTTATATAAATCGATGGTACGTCCTCATCTCGAATACTGCGTACAGATGTGGTCTCCTCATCTCAAAAAAGATATACTGGCACTAGAAAAGGTTCAGAAAAGGGCAACTAGAATGATTAAGGGTTTGGAACGGGTCCCATATGAGGAGAGATTAAAGAGGCTAGGACTCTTCAGCTTGGAAAAGAGGAGACTAAGGGGGGATATGATAGAGGTATATAAAATTATGAGTGATGTGGAGAAAGTGGATAAAGAAAAGTTATTTACTTATTCCTATAATACAAGAACTAGGGGTCATCAAATGAAATTAATAGGCAGCAGGTTTAAAACAGATAAAAGGAAGTTCTTCTTCACGCAGCGCACAGTCAACTTGTGGAACTCCTTACCTGAGGAGGTTGTGAAGGCTAGGACTATAACAGAGTTTAAAAGAGAACTGGATAAATTCATGGTGGTTAAGTCCATTAATGGCTATTAGCCAGGATGGGTAGGGAATGGTGTCCCTAGCCTCTGTCTGTCAGAGGGTGGAGATGGATGGCAGGAGAGAGATCACTTGATAATTGCCTGTTCACTCCCTCTGGGGCACCTGGCATCGGCCACTGTCGGTAGACAGGATACTGGGCTAGATGGACCTTTGGTCTGACCTGGTCTGACCTTTCTTATGTTCTTATGATGTGGTGCAGGGAGTCTGCACATTGGCCTGTTCAATCCACTGCAGTGGGCCATGGATCGCTGGTGCCCTGGGTGTGATCATGTCGCCCTCTAATGGCCAGTGCTAGGGACTGTAACCATCTGTTACGGACTCTCTCAGTTTTGGGGCTAAAGTTTGTGAGTTCAATCCCTGCTGGTATCTCTGTGCAGGCTGGCCCCATTCCCCGCTTGCCTGCTCCCCAGGGTGCCATAGAAATGATCGCTAGTAAATAAATGATTAAGAGCGAGGATTCCCATAGGACGAGACTGACTGGGGCCTCTAGACTAGAGTGACCAGAGAGCAAGTGTGAAAAATCGGGACGGGGGTGGGGGGTAATAGGAGCCTATGTAAGAAAAAGCCCCAAATATCAGGACTGTCCCTATAAAATCTTTGCTCTGACCCAGTATGGCTGTTCTTATGTTCTTACGACTCTTGCTTTTCTCCCAGGATGCCGTGGCCATCCAGATGGAGGAGGGACGGCTGGTGAAAATCAAAGAGGTGCTGAAGGAACTTCCATCCCCACACTACAGGTACTGTGGAGGGTGGGTGGTGACCCTCACCCCACCGCCCACCCCAGGGCCCCTAGGAGTGAGCGTGACATGTGAGCAAAAGCCTCGGGGAGCCCTTGCGGGTGGCCAGGGCAGGGTTACCTGGGCTCAGCCACACAAAAACCCCTTGAGTTTTGGAGATCGAAGGGCACAGGCCATGGGGGACCCAGCTCCCCTTCTGCTCCCAGGCTGGCTCCTCCAGGTCAGGGCGGTGGCATTCTGGGGTGGAACATGCTTGCCTGGCCTGCCCTTATCCTGCGCTCTCCAGGCTGCCGGTCGGGGACCTTTCACCGGCTGTGGGGTGGGCTCCCCGCTGCCTGTCAGTCCCAGACTAATTTACCCCAACCGCGATATCAGTCACAGTAATCTGCTGCGTCAGCAACAGTCACCTGGGTCAGCCGCACACTGCCCCAGCCTCAGCCCCTTGCTCTCCGGCCCTCCCACTGCCGGAGAGCTCTGGCTGATCCCCCGTGTGCTGCAGATCATACAGGGGTGCCACGTCACCCAGCGGGGAGCTCAGGCTCTTGGTCTGTCCTCTCCTGCAGCCCGCATAGCCCCTTCGCCCATGGCCATTCAGTCAGAGCATAGGCGTGCGCAGCCAATTTCATTAGGGTGTGCACCCAGGGAGCCCCGCCCCTGCCCTAGTCCCGCCCCCATCCACTCCCTCCTACTTCCCGCCCCCTGACTTCCCCCCTCAGAATCCCCAACCCCCCCTGCTCCTTGTCCCCCCCGACTACCCCCTCCTGGGACCCCTGCCCCTAACTGCCCCCCAGGACTCCACCCCCTACCTAAGCCTCCCTGCTCCTTGTCCCCTGACTGCCCCCCTAGGACCCTAACCCCTACCTGTCTCCTGACTGCCCCACCCCTTATCCAACCCCCCTGGCCCCGGACCCCTTACCATGAGATGAGGCTCCTAGCCTCACCGCGGAGCCAAACACTGCCCTGCGGGAGCATGCAGCCCCAGTCCCCAGAGCGCTGCATGCGTGGCGGCGTGGCTCCAGGGGAGGGGGGAGCGTGTCTGACTCCCCGCGGAGCCCTGGCCCCCAGAGCGCTGCATGGCTCCAAGGGAGGGAGGAAGGCGGGGGAGGAGCTGGCGGCTTGCTGCGCTCGGCCGGACGCTCCGGCCCGGGAGCGCGGACCCCGCGGCTTGCCGCACTAGGGAGTGGAGCCATTTGCCCACCCCTGCATTAGGGTGTGCCTGGGCACACCCGGTACACCCCATGCGCACACCTATGAGTCAGAGGAGAGCCTGCAGCAGGGTTACCTAGGAGCTGTCTGGCCAAGCAGGGAGAGGAGCGGCCGGCTTCTCCTCTCTGTGGCCAGCCCCTGCAGCACGGCTGCTGATCGGGGACCTGGGGGGCTCCCCACACTTTGGCAGCGTTGTCCGTTGCGCTCAGCATCAGCCCCCATCGGGGTGAGCGGGAGTTTGATCACTGGAGCAGAGCTAGGACAATATTGAGCACAGCCTCTCTCCAGCCAGGCCTCGCGCCTCCTACTGGCCCCTGGAAAGGAGCCTACAGATGTTCCAGGAGCTGAGGCTGGGTCTCCCCCGGGGTCTTGTGTCTGAGGACATGGCCCCCCTTTGACTCTCAGCTGGCTCAGACAGAGACGTCACCGAGGTGGAGCCAGCCCACGGGGCCGAGGTCTGGATTAATAGCCGTTGGCAGGGCATTGGGAGGGAACCTGGCTCCGCTGCTGCTACTCTCTATGGGCCAGAGTCTCTCCTGTGTCAGACCTTCGCTCAGCACCGGGCTGTGGAGTGCCATCTTCAGCGCCGCCAGTCCAGTACTGTGCAGGCCTGGACTCACCGCCATAGACGGGACAGTGCAGAACTAGAGGGGTCAGACAAAGGCGATGGGATGATCCAGGACCTGGAGACACTCTGCTATGAAAAGTGTTGACGAGGTCAACCCTGTTACCTTAGAGAGGGGATGAATGAGAGGGGACTGAATAGTCTAGTGGGGGTTTGGGGGCTTCCATTCGCCCAGTCTCATAACACAAGAACAAGGGACAGGCAATGACACAGGAAGATGGGAAATCCCAAACATTTTCATGCATCATGTGATCGGCCTGTGGAACTCACTGCCACAAGATGTCACTGATGCCCAGAACTCAACAAGATTCCATGGGAGATTGGTCAGGATTTGGGCAACAGGACTATCCAGAGCAGCGGTTCTCAAACTTTAACAACTTGAGGACCCCCATTTTGATTTCAGAGACCCCCCAAGCTCCCCTGCTCAGCCCCAGGCCCCGCCCCTGCCCCACCTCTTCCTGCCCCCTGCTCACTCCATCCCCTCTCCCTCTGTCTTGCTCGCTCTCCCCCACCCTCACTCACTCACTTTCACCAGGATGGGATGGGGGTTGGGGTGCAGGCTCTGGGAGGGAGTTTGGGTGCAGGAGGGGGGTGCGGGCGCCGGCCGAGCAGCGCTTACCTCAGGCGGCTCCCGAAAGTGACCGGCACGTCTCTCTAGTAGTGGCTCCTAGGCGGATTGGGGAGGGGGGCAGGGATCTCTGTGCGCTGCCCGCGGGCACCGCCCCCGCAGCTCCCATTGGCCGCAGTTCCTGGCCAATGGGAGCTGCGGAGTTGGCGTTCAGGGCAGGGGCTGTGCACAGAGACCCCCTGTCCCCTCCCCGCCAGGGGCCGCAGGGACGTGTAAGCCGCTTCTGGGAGCGGCACGGCGCCTGCCTTAGCCCCACTGGCCGCTGGACTTTTAGCACCTAACATCTCCCGTTTTGGCTTCAGTAGCTTCTGGGAGATAGAGGGAGGGGAAGGAGTTGATCAGTGGGGCCCACTGACCCCCTTGAATACCCTCAAGGACCCCCAAGGGTCCACGGACCCCAGTTTGAGCAACCCTGCTCCAGAGCGATCACTGATCTCCGACTGTTAGAGCCCAGGGTGGGACCATGGGGGCCGATTGTCCCACAGCCGCTGCTGTGTGGTGGTTACAGCTTCCCCAGCTGCACCTGGTGCCGGCCACTGTCAGAGACAGGACACTGGGCTAGATGGGTCTGATCCCGCCCGGCATCCCTGTGTGGCACCGGTCTCCAGCCCAGAATTGTGAGCATCTCCTCCTCTTGCCTTGGCTGCTGTAGGACCCTGGAGTTTCTGATGAGACATCTGGTTCACATGGCTTCCTACAGCTCCCAGACCAACATGCACGCCAGGAACCTGGCCATCGTCTGGGCCCCCAACCTGCTCAGGTGAGAGTCAGCAGGTGGAGCTGGGGGAGCCAGGGACGCCTGTTGCTTTGGTTATGCTGGGCAGGCTGAGGCAGTGTCAGAGGCAGGGAGGAGGGTCCCTGGGTGAAGGGGACCAGCCTCGGTGCCACAGAGCCTGTAGCTGGGAGGGATGGAGGTGGAGGGTGACACCAACCTGCAGAAATTGAGAGCTGGGGAGGAAGTGAGGCCGGGGAGAGCAGATAGGGACAGGAGAAGGGTGTGGGGGGGAGTTGGCGAGGGAAGGGGAAAGGAAACCATTTTAACAGGACATCCCCCTCTTGCCACATTCTCCCGAGACACTGACCCGTGACCCCCAAACGCCCAGGCGAGTTGCTCTGTGCTCCTCTGCCCACACGCGTGGGGTCCCCTCTAGCAGCACGCTAGCCCCAACCCAAAGCCAAAGGGTGCCCCGCTGCCCGGAATCTCTGCCCTGCGGCGGGGAACGGGCAGAGTGTGAGGGGAAGAGGTGGGCTGGATCCCAGCAGCGTTCACCTTCTCAGCCATGCCTCCCCCGTCCCTCCCCTCCAGATCTAAGGACATCGAGGCCTCTGGGTTCAACGGCACGGCTGCCTTCATGGAGGTGCGGGTGCAGTCCATCGTCGTGGAGTTCATCCTCACCCACGTGGAGCAGCTCTTCAGAGACGCCCCTCTCTGCGGTAGGTCCTTTGGTGCCCTGCCCTGGCGTTGAGCTCTGGTAGCTTCGCACCACCCAGGTCACCTGCCCCGTGCGGAGGTGACTGGCTGGCCATGCCGTACCTGGCTCTGTGCCGCAGGGCCAGCCCAGCCCTTCTCCAGGATGCAAGAGGAGCCGTGGAGAGAGTCCCCGGGAAGGGCTGCGGTCACTGGGGCTGGAGTCCTGGCTGCGGTGATGTGCTGCGCGCCTGTCCTGCCACCACTCGGCGAACACAGGGCCAGCTGGGGATGTCATAGAATCATAGAATATCAGAGTTGGAAGGGACCTCAGGAGGTCATCTAGTCCCATCCCCTGCTCAAAGCAGGACCAATTCCCAACTAAAGCATCCCAGCCAGGGCTTTGTCAAGCCAGTCCTTAACCTCTAAGGAAGGAGATTTCACCACCTCCCTAGGTAACCCATTCCAGTGCTTCACCACCCTCCTAGTGAAAAAGTTTTTTAAACCTCCCCCACTGCAACTTGAGACCATTACTCCTTGTTCTGTCATCTGGTACCACTGAGAACAGTCTAGATCCATCCTCTCTGGAACCCCCTTTCAGGTAGTTGAAGGCAGCTATCAAATCCCCCCTCATTCTTCTCTTCTGCAGACTAAACAATCCCAGTTCCCTCAGCCTCTCCTCATAAGTCATGTGCTCCAGCCCCCTAATCATTTTTGTTGCTCTCCGCTGCACTCTTTCCAATTTTTCCACATCCTTCTTGTAGTGTGGGGCCCAAAACTGGACACAGTACTCCAGATGAGGCCTCACCCATGTTGAACAGAGGGGAATGATCACGTCCCTCGATCTCCTGGCAATGCCCCTACTTATACATCCCAAAATGCCGTTAGCCTCCTTGGCAACAAGGGCAAACTGTCGACTCATATCCAGCTTCTCGTCCACTGTAACCCCTAGGTCCTTCTCTGCAGAACTGCTGCCTAGCCATTTCCTTCTCGACCCCAGGCAGTTAATGTGCCCAGCGATACCCTGATCGGCCCCCAGCTTTGGGGCTGGGGAAACCCTCCCCATCCATGGAGATTTTAAAGAATCCTTATTGCGGTTACAAACCATCCCGATGTGTAGAAAGAATAGTAAATATGGCAGGCGACCAGCTTGGCTAAACAGTGAAATCCTTGCTGATCTTAAACACAAAAAAGAAGCTTACAAGAAGTGGAAGATTGGACAAATGACCAGGGAGGAGTATAAAAATATTGCTAAGGCGTGCAGGAGTGAAATCAGGAAGGCCAAATAACACTTGGAGTTGCAGCTAGCAAGAGATGTTAAGAGTAACAAGAAGGGTTTCTTCAGGTATGTTAGCAACAAGAAGAAAGTCAAGGAAAGTGTGGGCCCCTTACTGAATGAGGGAGGCAACCTAGTGACCGAGGATGTGGAAAAAGCTAATGTACTCAATGCTTTTTTTGCCTCTGTCTTCACAAACAAGGTCAGCTCCCAGACTGCTGCACTGGGCAGCACAGTATGGGGAGGAGGTGACCAGCCTTCTGTGGAGAAAGAAGTGGTTCGGGACTATTTAGAAAAACTGGACGTGCACAAGTCCATGGGGCCTGATGCGCTGCATCCGAGGGTGCTAAAGGAGTTGGCGGATGAGATTGCAGAGCCATTAGCCATTATCTTTGAAAACTCATGGCGATCGGGGGAGGTCCCAGATGACTGGAAAAAGGCTAATGTAGTGCCCATCTTTAAAAAAGGGAAGGAGGAGGATCCGGGGAACTACAGGCCAGTCAGCCTCACCTCAGTCCCTGAAAAAATCATGGAGCAGGTCCTCAAGGAATCAATTCTGAAACACTTAGAGGAGAGGAAAGTGATCAGGAACAGTCAGCATGGATTCACCAAGGGGAAGTCGTGCCTGGCTAACCTAATTGCCTTCTATGATGAGATAACTGGCTCTGTGGATGAGGGGAAAGCAGTGGATGTGTTATTCCTTGACTTTAGTAAAGCTTTTGATACGGTCTCCCACAGTATTCTTGCCGCCAAGTTAAAGAAGTATGGGCTGGATGAATGGACTGTAAGGTGGATAGAAAGCTGGCTAGATCATCGGGCTCAACA